GGGGCTTCCCTTCAGCGAGAAAATGGGGTTTGTTGGGTCTCTTGCAGCAAATCCAGCTTTGCTGGGCTGCTGCTAGAATTCGCTGTTTTAAGAGTTTTTGTGTTCGAGTGCAATGTTTCGGCCGCGACCACGAGCACGCGGTTCAGTCCGGTCACCCGGCTACGGCACGCGTCGGCGTACGCACCCTCAGGGTAAACCCTGCCTGTCAGCAGGGCACAGAGAACCCTCACAAGGCAACAACAAACTTCGCATCTCTAAACCAGGCTCCAGCGGTGCGTCCCACCGACGCCGCGTGCGTCCCCGGCAAAGATCGGCTCCCGACAACGCTGCTGTCAGATGCCGCTATTCCCCTGGACACAGAGAGAATTATGACAGAGCAGGAGCCTGTGAAAAAGCCAACACAGAACTTCTTCTCCCAGCGGATACAGCCTCTTATTGTTGTCACCAAGCAGCTGCGAGCCGCGGGCGCGTGTGTGCACATGGGCATGTAGCTCCTGGACAACGTCCACACGCGGGGAAAAGTCCCCCCACGCAAGTGCCAGCCTGCACGGAAACTTCGGGGCACGAAGGGCTGAGCAGAAAGCGCGCACGCACGGCAGCGTTCAACCTTCCTCGAGGCACTAAAGCACCAGGAGCTGTACCTTCACCCGGTGGGAATCAGAGCGGGTCTGCTGCCTTCCATGAAGCCACCGACACCAGCTGGCCACCCGCCCCCGAAGTTCTTTTAAAAGGAAAGCCCAGGTCCTACCAGCGGCAGCAATTAGTGCTCAGGTGTAGCCGAGGGCTTGATGGTGGATGCAAGTTTTTCGGCTCTCACAGCAGGGGCAAAACTTCAGCACTTCACCACTCCAGCTGCAATTAAAATTAGTCAGCCCTGCTGAAGTTGTGCTTGAAAAGTAATCGATCACTTAAACTGCAAGAATTTTACTCTATATTAACATCTCTGTAGTTAAGTTTCCTCTGCTGGAAGTTCTGACCAACCTTCAGGCTCGTTCCTGACACAGCAATTGCAGAGAGGACACCTTTTTGGACCATCACGGTCCCTTTCACAGCACGCTGTAAGCATTACTTTCCCATTCCGTGCTTTTTCAAGCTAAAAAAAACCCCAGGACAGAATTGCATCCAGTTAGAACAATGACATAAAGCAAAGCATCAACACTCCAAGGCAAAACACCGCACGAGTCTACGCCAGCGAGGGCCCCCCCCCCGACAGTCACACCAGCCCATCCCGGAGCAGCAGCACGAATCCCTTCTGCCTGGGCTTCCTTAGGAAATGGTTCGCTGCGCCGCCGTTTCGCGTTAGAGTCCGGCGTTGGCCCGCGTGAGTAACTACTCCGAGCTCTGTGCTGACAGGAGGACGCCTGGGTTTCACCAGGAGGTAGCGGCCTCGGGAGCACCGGTAGCGTTGGCACTCGGGGTCACTCCGCGAGCCTTCGTCAGGAGACACAAGGGATAGGGAGGCGCGAGCTACCAAAAGGCAACCTTGCAAGCTTTGGGTTAGGTCCAGGGATTTCCCAGTGGGTCCGAACAAACCAGCGTAAAATTTTGCTGTTTAAAAGGGAAGCTTAAACCGCAGCACTTGCCTCACCATAACTTTCACGTGCATAGCAACAGCTCAAGTAATAAATATTGACGCATATGTGGTAAAAACAGCTATTCAGAGAGAACATCACTAGTTGTGTATGGATTTTGGGTGAGAAAAATTGAAAAAAATTCCAGAAATGTTTGAGAATTTTGGGTGAAATTGTCCTATTTTGCTCAAAAAATGAATACACAAAAATATGCATACAAAGCATGTTTCCCTGTGGATCCAGCGAGGCATTTCTGCCCTTGCCAGCCAGCTGACACAGGTACGGTTCATCCTCCTTCCCCCGCCAGCCGCCCACCCCTCCGTCCAACGCCGACAGGCCCTCTCCATCCCCCGTTTGCCCTCAAACTCAAGGGTTGTCAGCAGCACCCACCAAGCAATTAGCTGAAGAGCAAGGGAAGGAACTCATTTAATACACATGGGCAGCTATTAGGAGGTAACAGGGGGGTTTAAGAAGTTACCTCAAGTACACAGCAGAGATATTTCTGAAATCATGGATCTCCTGACGTAACAACCTCCTTATCTGTATCTGCCAGACATTTTAGACCACGCATCTGTGAAAATCAACCCCAAGGCAGCAGCTTCCACGTCTCTTTCAGCCCAGCAGGCGAAGCGCGTGGAGAGCGGCTCCGCGATTCATGCGCCGCAAATGTAACTACGCAAAGACAGCACCGCTCCCGCGTGCCTCGGCACCACCACCTTAAATAAAGTTTTTATGGAATTTACTGCAAAAAATAAACTCTGGTATATCTGGTAATGAATTAATGACATTTAGAAATTAATAGCCTCTCTGAATTAAGAAAAATAGTGCTTCTCACAGAGCAGTAATCTTTGCCAAGGAGGCAGATGTGACCTTACACACAACAGCTCTTCTCATGAGCTTCTTTCTTTACCCCAGGAAGAAATTAATTCTGTAACACTGAAAGTTGTTTCGGTTTTTATTATCAGAAGTACAGTTACACTGCATTCAAGAACCTTTATTTCATAGTAGCAAATTAGTTAATACACAATATAGTTCTTTCAATGTAAGGGAAATGGAACAGTCCCAGCCTCTTCAAGAAAGAGCATATCTGAGAAAATTTTATTTAGAAAAACACGAGGAAATCACACCTCCCTTCAAATTCTGGCATGAAACATTAGTGAAGTCAAGGCAAAACTCCCACTATTTTCAGTGACATTTTTGCCTTGAAGACATTTGAAAAGCCACTGTAAAAGCCTCTTCCAGGACAAAAATTCTTCCCCAGGAGGGTGGTGAGGCCCTGGCCCAGGCTGCCCAAAGAAGCTGTGGCTGCCCCCTCCCTGGCAGGGTTCAAGGCCAGGTTGGATGGGGCTTGGAGCAGCCTGGGCTGGTGGAAGGGGGCCCTGCCCAGGGCAGGGGGGTGGAACAGGATGGTCTGTAAGGTCCCTTCCAACCCAAACCATTCTGTAACAACTCAAAAACTCGTGTCCCAAGTTCAATTTGAATAGCTGCCTGACAGCTCCCACCCTTTCTAAAACACAGAAAGGCAAGTGCAGCAAAGTCACCTGAAGAACAGATAGCACCAAGAGTCTTCAAGATAGTTAAAACGTATGCAAACCATGTCACAGAATTTTTCTAATATTTGTTTGAAGTCCTCCACAACTGTACTCTAGCGTCCAGCAAGACACTAACCCTTTTATCAAATGAGCTTATTTGTGTTCTGCAAAATAATCGTCTTCTGCAAACAGACATGTCGCAGCTTCTCAAGCTTTTTTAATCCTCTTGATGAGAATGCAAAAAAAAGTAGCAATAAAAGACTCCGAAGTAATACACCTTTCATGGACAGTAGAGACAAGGTCAAGAACTCGGGCTGTGGAAATACAGCAGAAATCCCACAAAGTGACAGACAAACCCTGCCTCAACAGCCTCAACCCTGGAATGCACGCGGGCTAGAGCCAACAGCGATGACGACGACAGCAGACGAGCACCATCACCTCTGAAGTGCCGGCTTAGTGAGTGAATTCAGAGCAGGCAGCACCTGCTTCTCCAGGGGAAAGTCTTCCTCGCTTCCACCTCCATGATCCAGCAAAGTTCTGGGCTTGCAGAAATCATTAACAAGGACAGATACAGGCACTTGGTAAAGGATCTGCTCTAAACTCATTAAAGCCAATAAGAAGACTTTGGCGATAACTGGCTTAGACCCCGAGTACTGAACAGAAGTAGTACACAAACCTAGGACAAGTTTTAAATCCTAACTAAATTGTTAGTTAACACTGGAAAAAGACACAACGATTAAAATCCCTAGCTACTCGAAAGGAAGCCAAACCTCTCAGATCATCTTCTTGCACAGCCACTATCCAGATACAAGCTGCACTACGTTTTGGCCGAGTCAGGTCTGCAGGATTCCCACCGCTGGGCACACTGACACAGCTATCACAGTGGTGCATTAACAAACGGCCCCGATACCTGACCGCGATGGGACTGAAATCCAGTTTGTTCGTTGGTCTCCGCAGCGAGGCAGCCGACAGTTCCAGTATTTCAGCTGCCTTGAATTTTCTTCACTCTTCTTCCTCCAGTAATGTCAACTGACCCAACTGTTTTTCTGATACCTGAAGAGACTGACTAGTTTACTTAAAACCTTCCTGTTGAAATATTTTCATAATTGATCCTAATTGCAATAATTAATCTTAATTGCACTTTGCACAGGCATTTCAAAATTCACAGAGACAAGTCTGAATTACACCCAAGTACAGGAAAACATGATGACAGCCAAGCATTACCCTATTTTTTCTTTTTTTAACACAATGACCTAAGAAAGTTACAAAAGCAACTTTAAATTACATATATATACTTAAACTAATTATTTTTAATTTAGCTAGCACTGAGAAAACAAAATCCCAAGCAACACAAAGACAAAAAAAACATTGAGATGACTGATTCTAGGGTAACTTAAGACTTTTTACTGAGTCTCTGCATGTAGCAGGCAGGTGAACACTTCCCTACTGAAGTATTATTTGTCACTGGAGACCACCGAAAGCTTATCTCATTATTCTCATTTTAGAACAGCATATGAGTGATCAGTCCAGCGTTCACTTCTGCAGGCTTTATTAAGTCCTATATTCTGCAAGAACAATTTTATTACTTATTCCACTTTTTTGTCATTTACTTCTTCCAGTGAGTGGCAAAATTCCTAGAAACTTCAGTGGCATCAGGATTCTTAATACTAAGAGCACAGATTTGTCAGACACTGAAAGATAAAATGGTTGAGAAGTGTGGCTTGTAAGATAATATTAAAAAGGATACGCAGATAGCTACGTACATGTATATTTGAACTCATTCAAGTTAAAGGAAAGCACAGCTTGAAATTTATGTGGCATATAAAGGTGTCTGTCTGAATGCTGTCAATTAATAACCCAAGTCTCATGTGGTGAACACATTCACAAAGACTAGAACAAGTAACAGCTACTTTATTATCTAAGAATACATTAAAGTGAAAATGCTTAGAGAGAATCATCAGGCTAAAGAATGCAGAGGTCGTAAGAACTTGAGAAACTCCTGATGACTGCTAGTTACCACTCAGTTTTCTCATGATAGGGCTGTCGGGTTCAGCATTAGTGAAAATACTTCCTACAACCACATGAGTGCCCCAGAGGATATGACGAATAACTTTGCAGCAGCCAAGATCATCAATGGAAAACCCCAAGTGGCGGTAGCGTTCATCTGTTTCAAACAGAGTGTTGTTTGTGTAAGGTCCAAAAAACTAGGTGGAAAAAAAAGGAGAAATTTTCACGTAAACATTTCCAAGAGCATTTAAAAATGTCAAAACTACCCCTTTTTAAAAGAAAACCTAAGCCCAGAAGTACCAGTTACATCTGCTGAAGGAAATCTGATGTACGGTTTTATTCATGAAATCTACACAGGAAGCTGAGCAAAGCACCTCTGGTTACACTGGAACCCTGCATTTAAAGATTTTCCTTCGCCACTGGCAGCATGATGAAAGCATATCGGTGTGTTTGAAAGTCTAACCAATCAGACAGACAAAACACCTCAAGTGCTTTGGAAAGGTCCTGCTACTTCTACAGGTATCAAGGACAGAACCCTTCCGTGAAATAATAAAATTAAGACATGTACCTTTCCAACGAGCTCCCTATAAAGAAAGATGTTTTGAAGAATAAAAACGTGTGTAAATTGGGAACAGGGACTTGGGTTGCTTTATCTCGGGAGGAAGCTTCTGACCAAACACCTGATCCTGATGAACAGGTTATCAGTAAGGACGTTACTGCTGAATTGGAGGCCAAAGACAGAACCCTACTTTTATCAATCTGTAACCATTCCTTTAAATGCATGGAATTTCTGGGAAGCTTTTAAGCACTATACACACTTTCAAGTGCCTGTCTGCCTTATAAACATCCCCTGCTAAACCTATTTGCCTCTGTTGACGGAATAAATCACTGCCTTTCATAGTGGTTTTAAATAAAAGCCCACTAAACTGAGCTTTGCCGTGATTATGTTCAACTATGATATGGTTTTAACGGTTAGTTCTCAAAAGTACACACATGCTCATGCTTTGATAAAGCTTTCTCAGTTCTCTCTTAAGAGTTTCAAGACTCTTTATATTTCACAGATGTCTTGGTAAGAAACTCTCAGCTCCTCCAGAGGACTGGTGTAATCTGATAATGAATGCCGACACTGTTTAATAGGAACAAGCTATTCATTTTTAATATGTAACAAAGGTATCATTAACTAGTATAAAGGGACTTTTAAACCCCTCTCCCCACCTACACAAACAGGTGTCAGGATGACTAAGTTACCTCGGAAGGGCACAGCCAGCCTACCGTGCAGTGACCAAGAGCTTGTGGGCATAAGACTTCCACAATTACCCAAAAGTCAACTTCGTTGCTGAACAACGTTCTCCAAACTGCCAACAGCACTGACAGCTGACACCGTACGGGAACTGGCTCAGGGTTACCATTCCATCTTAATTTATTTAAGGAATGATCCTATGGGAACAGCTTTTGGGCAATAGGAAAAAGTTGGATTTAACCCACAGAGAATACAAATACCACTGCTAGTTAGGACACAGCGGTGTCCAAAGCGCACTCCACACAGCGCGTAACTTACTGCCAGTCCTGAGGATGGATCAATGAAGTCAGCCCAGTAGCCTTCAGAACAAATTGCGTAGCAAATTTCCTTGGCACCATTAATGAACTTTGAGAAAAGAAAGGGAAAGAAGGATACCAAATGAGATTTTTGTTACACATACACACACACCAGAACACATATAAAATATTCTGAAAAAGAACAAGCATGGATTTCTTTTGGCCTCTACTAATAAATGAGAAATTCAGCATACTTTCAATAAAAATATTAATAATATTAAGAAAATTAGAATTAATGGCATATATTAGGCTACTCCAATCATATGAGGTTTACGGGTGTTCCTTGTGCCAGTCAGTAATGGATTAACAGCTTGTACAAGGAATAATGTGATTGCTTTGATTACTCATGCAGATTGCAACCATACCTGTTAACCTCTTTAAGAAGTCAACCATTACCTCAGGTATTTCTGTGTTACTTCCATGAGCTCACAGATCTCACCTAAATTCCACATATTTGACACTAAATGTAGCATTAAATATATTTTTATAAACATATGAAGAACAGTTTTGCTGTAAGGCCTTATCTCAGCCAACAGGACAGTATTACGCAGTTCTTCCGGCACTACAAATGTTTAACTCCAAATGATTTTAAAGAACATTTTAGTTTTGCATCGTGACAGCAAACAGTTCCATAAGCATGTGGCTTTCACACCAATCTACACCAACTCTTTTGTTGTAATTAATTGACAGTCAGGATGAACGATGATTTCCAACTCCCTCACTATTTTACAATTGTAGGTCATGTTTCAGTTACACTGGAGGACACCAGATGATGTTCCTGAAAATAGTATTTTCAATTAAGCAACATGCCAATAAGTTTCCTGTTCTGCAATGCACCATCAAAAACCTCCCTTCTCTGAAGAGACAGAATCTACTTTTTTTTGTATCAAACTTTTCACACCAGCTAAAGTGAGAAAGCAAGCTTCCCCCCCCCCCTTAAAGTCTTTGGTGTTGAGTTGCAATTATCTATCAGATATAGAAGAATATTCAACCAGCTAGATTTAAAGCTGTGCTCCTGTATTCTGACATCAAAACACAGGGCACAAAATATTTACACAACCTACAGATTACACAGCACATTTTTTCCACAGATAAATCAGCAGCAACAGGACACCTCAGTTATGTGCTTTTAATCACCTAGCCCAGCAGATCTCAACCCATGCTATGAGGGCCAGTGGAGGCCCACAGAAAACTTCTGAAGAAACCCACACAGGCAAGTGAGAGAAAAACCCCACAAAAGTCAAGATGCATGATGGTTCTAAAACCATCCATGTACTCAGAAAAAGACGTCCAAGTACAAAAATCTAAACAGCTGAATAAAAATCTAAACAGCTGAATACACTGAGCTAGAATAAAGCACAAATAGAATTTACACAGCTTCCTTGAAATATGGAACTCCCTAGTCTTATTAAGAAATACTTCTAACTTCATAATAAATATAGTACTTTATTTTCAGTTATAAAAATGGGATTGTTCTCTCAAATTGGTGCCCTTAGCAGCTCAAGGTTTCAAATTTATAGAAATATTATTATAGTTACTCAGCTTCAGGCCCTTACTGGCCCAAAATAAGAGAAGTTTACCCTTTACAGTAATGTGTTCTGTATTTTGAGGTTTGGTGGATCTTGATTAACTGTGTTTCAACTGTAAATTAAGTCACAAATACAAGTAAGCCATCTGAAGGCAGCACGCTAGGTATCACATTTCTGATACAGGACGTCTTTTGATCTGGTGCTGTAACTGCCCCTCAGCCATCGTAGTGAGGTTAATAAACACTTGAGATTCCCTACTGTAAACATTTACATTTGGTTGTACACATCCCTCCTTACTTTAGCACAAGCCTCTCACATTAGATTAGTATTTTTAAGGTTACTTCTAACCATCTATGAAGCAAACAAACAGACCGTTTTCTGGCGAATTTGCTGTTAGTAACCTTTAGGCTGGGAGGTTACATCCAACATCCTAACACCCCTACAATGACTATATTAGACTTGACAGGGAGGTGCACTAGGAAGAAAGCTGCCAATTAACATATAATTAGACCAGATTACAACACGAAAGACCAACAGACCATAAATAATTCAAAGAGAAGAACACACTAAAATGAAGGGAATTTTAATTTGTGTGTAATCTTTACGTTGATCCTTCAGACTGCTTCTTCCTTTTCGCGGTACCCTTACACTGCTCTATAGAGGCCACATTTGCAATTTACAGGACTGAAAAGGACACTACCAGACTACTTTTAAACATAAATATAATCCTCGTTATGCAGATGAAAACTCCACAGGGTGATTATTACTGGTTTTAGAAAAATTATAACAAACAATATACAGATACGTTGTATTTTGAGGTGCTAAGAAAAGAATGCCAGCGGTGGTGGACACTGACACCTGCTGGAGTACGTACAAAAAAATCTGAAGAACGTGAAATAAAGCGATTTTCCGAGAGCCCTCTCGTGGCAACAGACAAGAAAACAAGCTCATGAGGATGGTTAAGACTTAATATTTATTAGGGATACCCAGGCTAAAAGCATTAACCATACCCATTACCAGAATGAAAACAAAAACGAGAGGAACCACTTTTTACAAGTAAGGACGCACTCACTGACAGACACTGTACTAGAATATCAATTACATCACAGAAAAACAAAGATAGCAGTGAAATCCTACAAAATGCGTTGTACTAAACCTGAAATAAGCCGAGAAAATAGTTGCTGTCCTTTAACTGCAACAGGACAACAATCAAGTACCTTTATTCATCTACTGTAGCATTTTACAACATCTTAGCATACTCACTCCACTACAAAGAATTTAATAGTTCTATGAGACATTTCACGTAGTCAAAAAGCTACAAAGCTGGAAAAGTTATCTCAATTTTATCAGTAAGTGGATGCTAATGTTGGCTACTTACATTTTCTAACAGCATTTCTCTCTCATCCTCCACTTCTTGACTCCAGGCAGTCATATCATTTTTAGTCTTCTGGGTGACAGTTAATACTGTCAAACAGTTGGCATTCACTTCTGGAAACATTGACTGAAAGTCTAAAAAAAAGTGAAACCAGCATGTTATGGCTTGCTCTTACATTTTACTTATGATTTTTCAGTTTTACACAAATTACTGACCCTACTTTAGAGCCTTCATTTCATTTAAATCCAAGATACGTAAGTTATCTCCATATGAGATCTAGCAAACAGCACGCTGGTTTGAAATGCTGATGTTGCTTTTGTGGAAACTAATGCACCTTGGTAAGGTTCTGTTAAAAGCAACTTTGACACTGGAGTTTGCCGTTTCAAGACCTCCTATTTATTTGCAAGACAACAAAAGCCCCCTACTCTGCACGTTTCAGAACGTGCAAACAAGTGTCTTTCTTCACAAAGATATTTTTATTTTTTTAGTATTTTGAAATTAACACCACCACCGTTCTCCACACGAGGTTTGAAGAATCTTGTTTTCTGGCTAAACCACACCACGTCAAATCTTTCAGCAGAAATGTCTCAGATCTACTTCTTCGGACATGACAGCAGACTCCGTATCAGTAGCGTACTATAGGCACGAGCTGTGACAATTCTTCCCCTGGAGCAGAGAAGGCCCAAACCCATCACAATCCCCTCTCTGTGTCATCTCTTGGGCTACAAGGAGGAATGCATGTGAAGCACCAAAGTCACGATTAGGCTTCACGGAGCCTTGTTTTCAGCATCGGATGCAAAAGCACTCTCCAGAATTAGCACTCCAAAGGTTCACCCTTTCTTACTCTGTGAAAAGTCTGCTCGCTTCAGCATCTGTACTGAGATTTCAGCCAGATTTCAGTCTCTTCTCTCTTTCGGTATTTCACTTATAAAACTAGAAGGGTTTATTCCAATCTAATTTCAATCATTTCCTTCTTGAATCAATTAAGATACAAAAGCAATGCCCTCAGAAGTTTCATAATTTCAATTTTCTAGTTTACTAAGAAGCAATAAGATCTGCTTTGTTACAAACTGGGTTTTGGATAGTGAATTAGCTCCCAGAATCTACACGACACTAAAGCAGTACCTGAAAGTTAACACTCGTCCCAGCTGATCTTCCATTTAAATGGCACTGAATTTTATATGAAATACAAAGTATTGTCAACAGCAAAGTTTCAGATTTCATTTTATAGTCTGTATTTCTCTTTGTTAAAATATTAACTCTGGATCACCCTTTTCTATTACACATTTTGTGGCATCAATTACATCCGAGCATTTACCTACATATTTTTACACCTTAGAAGTTACGATTTCTCAGCTGTCCAAAAAAATGAAAATATACCTTTTCGTAACAGCTCGGGACAAGCTTGTACGGCACATTCTACCTTTGCATTTTCAAAGTAAGTTTCAGCGTTATTTATTTGCTGTTTCTGAGGAACATCAGCACCCTGAGAAAAATGAAAATTATAATTTTCCCATTCATTCATATACAACAGGAATAACTTTGTACATCAGACTGTTTTTCTGACTAAACATCTGCTGACACACCCAAGCACTTTCACAGAAATAGGATTTGCAATGAGACTTAAAACTCCATTTTCAAATATTAACAGTGGAACAGATACAGGTATAACCTATTACTTAAACCTGCACAGAAATGTTAAGCTTTCTGTTTTGTAGTAACCCTATTAACTCAAAGCCTTAATCAATAAAGACATTTCTGAAAAATATTCTTCTGAAACAATGGTCTCAAGTATTCAATACAACAGCCATTGACAGATTTGAGACACACAGACATTACCTGAGCCAGAATAAAACTTTAAAGTTATATAACAGTTCTAGAGCTCTAAACTACTGTCAGCTTTAGCTGGTGTGGTTTGAAAAGCAGAAGAGTTTTCCAGTTACACAATTTTTATTCTTTACAGTATTTCAGTCTACAGTTTCTAAAAAAAAAAACCCTTCCCAGATTCTTCTGGGTACATTACAAATGGTGCACCTGTAAGTTAAGATACCTAAAATTTACACTTAAAATGCTGTTAGGAAGGTAGTAATAACTGTTGCCTTCTTTAGGATAACTGTTAAGCAACAGGTGTCAAATGCCTTAATACATTTTTTTCTAGCCCTAACTATGCCATAATTTACAAGGAATTTCAGCGTTTCTCTAAGACTGCAATGTATTACTCAACACTGTAATTAAATCTTACCTAATACGTGCTTGTATCTGAAAGTTCTCCCTTGAGAAAACTACTACATTGAAAACAGCATGACTAGCATTTTTGTTCTAGAAGTTAACATTCAAGAGTAGCAAAAAAAAGCCATCAGAAAATAAACACAACAACAGACAAACAACAGACATTAACTGCTGTTTCAATACGTAAGTTTGCACACATACCTTGCATTATGATTGCAAAGTCACCAGCACAGATCAGTAGGTACTTTAAGCCTGACAAAGCACACCATCATGCTGGTAAACTCCTCCTTTTCTTCCTAACTGTAAGATGCTTCTCCCACTAAGAATACTAGTTCATTGTGATTTCTTGTCTACTACTCCCATTCTATCCAGCTAAATACCACTTACATAGTCCATATGCTTTACCAGGCAATGTATCATCAAGAGACTATGAGCATTTTCCACTTTCTGGTATTGAGTAAACTGGTAGGCCAGTTTACTCCGCTCAGATAAAACTGATGCATCAATCTCAGGCACACAGCAGTCAAAAAAGTTTGCCATTTCTCTGACTGGTTCAAGGACCAGTGCCTGAGCTTCAGCAGCGCTGAGCTTTTCTCCTGCTTGCTGCAGCAACCTATGGGAGGTTCCTGTATTCAGCTGATCCCATCATCCAAATCTGGGTCCTAAGACGAGCAGTTTAGCATTTTTGACAGCTAAATGCTGTTTACGAACCAGAGCTGACTCTCGTTGACTGCTTTCTGAACACCAGTTGTAAAACCTGCCTCTGCTCTTTCCAGTTGCTCCCTTCCATTTGTGACAGCAACAGCTGCACCAGGCATTTTATTAGACAAGTGATCTTGCTAGCAAGCAGGCATGCATTCAGCGCACCTGGTTTGCACTAAGCAAACAAAAGACTAGAATTTTCAGTCGGGCTTTTAATAGGAAGTGTGATCTGCACAAGCTTAAAACAGAATCTGGGGAGCTCACCAGAAGCTTATGTTTTCTGAACACTTTGGAATACAATGTCACATTCACAAAAAACACTATATAGCATTTTTACACTGGAGATTTGCTAGTTGACTTCCAAAGTCTGAGCACGTCACAAACTCGGAGAGCCTGAGACAGCAGATAGTAGCACTAAACATCTGTTGAAACGTTGCAATCATGCTGGCAATTATCAAGCTGCTTGCTGCTAATAATGTGTCTGACTCGCTGCAAGCTCTGCCATCGTCAAAATGCAGTCTCATCGTGAGACTTGAGGCTGAGGTACAACGATCTGCTGCTCCTGTGTGAACTCAATGGTTGTCTGAACTAAGCAGGCAGATCTAAATGCCATCCAAACTATGCAAGTCCAGATCCGTTCAATTAGTGCTGAAGAAACTACCAATTCCATTTGATAAAAGGTGGTGAGACTTGGGAAACGGCAAGTTTTGAAACGAAAGTGTTCTTTTCCCATATCCATATACACCCCAGTTGAAGTTTATCTTTCAAAACCACCGAGAAAATCAACGATCTTTTTTCAGGAGAGAAAGAGATTAGTTACGTTTCTCTTAGACAAGAAATACCAGTTTCACACAGAAGCAGCCTGCTCTTACCTGAAATTCATTTACATATTGTGCCATTACAAATTCATGCCTTTCACTTGCTGACAGCTCTGCTAATACATCAGGCAGACTTTTTGAAACTTGGCTTTTCTTCTGAGAAGCAGTGCCATCCAGGTGACAGTCAAAACCAATATTACCAGGCAACTGGAATCTCTGGTCCTGAGGACCAAATGGACCCATTACTTCATCTGGCCACACAGTTCTCGGACCTGAAAAAGTCAAGGTCTTGCTTTAGTCACCCCATCTAAAAAGAAAGGGGGAAAAAAAAAAGAAAAAAACCCTTCTCCCATACAAATATCTGTATTTGATCACAATCATATATAACCAAAGTAACCACAATGCACAAGTAAAAGACAGGGCCCTGACATAAAAACGACACTTCAAAATTCCCAAATTTATATGGGGGTGCAAAGTTTTGATAGCACACAAACTCAAAGAAAACGAATTTGCTTTTTCTTACATAAATCGGGAGGCGCAGCAGCAACACGAGGCTCGTCTGAGCCAGAAGAACCTGCTGTAGAAAAAGCCTTGGGATTTACAACTCTTTTGACTAAGGAATAAAACCCTGGTAGGTAGGTGACCAATCTTGCTCTGTTACAGAGCACCTGAGAAGACAAAACAAAACAAGTATTACACACTGCTAGCAAAAATAGTAGTTTAAGTAGAGCTTTGCGGATCACAAGAGAAATCCTCACTTGGTAATCAAATTAGTTTTAATTATGATCAACTATGTTTCTGTAAAATCAAGTTTTAAAAGTGTTTTACTACTACTTTTATATTTTACTAGTAATAGTATGTTAAGCAAAGGAAAAGCCTCATAAATACTTTTTGAAAGGTCTCCTCATGTGAGCAAAAAACCCAGAGAAGTTTAAATAGCACCAAGAAGTTTAAATAGCACCACTGAAACCCCACAAACTAAACTAAGTTATGGATGGGGATTACTTCCATGCTTATTTCCATGTCATTGCTTCCAGGATTGTCACAATTCGAGCACAGGACTGATTATCAGAAATACCTAGAAATACTGTTAATTAAGTAAATGCTGATATCCAAGACATTTGCCTTGATGGCTAGCACAAACATTCGCCAGCCAATTTTCCTCCTTCTTAAAAGACTGGAGGGAGACACAAGACAGTACCACTCCAGAGGCATTGTGTAGCTTTCATCTCGAAGCACGCACAGGTGTGTGCTTACACCCATGCCTCTGCCAGCAAAGGCCACATACCAACAGCTCTGAGCTGTGCAGGGAGACATGCGTATCAAACCACGTAGGTATAGTGATTTCAGCTTTTTTCTTTTGCTCTTAAAATCCGTAAACATTTCACACGTGCAAAACTTCAGCTAGTGCAGTCAGTGCTATTTCGATTTGCAAACTCAGTACATTCACCTATTTACAAACAAGTATTACTGCAAGCAGATCAGGATGGTGGTCAGAATGACAACAAGCCATAAAACCTTTCTGAACTCTGTGGTCTTGGAATACACCAGCAGACCTGCTTCCCGACACAGAGTCGTTCTGTCAGCACAACTTCGAATTGCTGAAGAGGATTGTATCAGAAACTGATTCAGCCACCCAGTAAACAGAAAATGATGCAATCCTATCTCCCTGAGCATGCAAACGGTCTTCAGAAACTGATTCAGCCACCCAGTAAACACAAAATGATGCAATCCTACCTCCCTGAGCACGCAAACAGTCTCAACAAGTCTCCAAAGAGCTAATGGGTCCTCACCATGAGGATTAACTCCAAGGCCAGATGATATTACCTTAACCAGTCATATAAGCAACTGTTACTGGCTTTTTTTTTGTTAGTGGGTTTTCTTTTCAACTGTTACTGTTTGGTTTTTTTTTTTGTTAGTGGGGTTTTTTTTGCCTTTTGTTTTTTTTTTAAACAAGAAATACCCAGGTGATGTAACTCAAATGTCTGATCTCTTTTTTTATAATTTAAAAATAGATTGACAACTTTAATGATGCATTTACACAGCTAAATACAGAAAAATAACCAGTCACTGAAAACAGAATTGAAGTGTAATTTAAAAAAAAAAATAGAGACTATTTAACACAAAACTACTAGTACACAAAAGCATGCATTATTGGAAAATGTAAGTCCCACCCACCATAGCATGTGTGGTTTCATAAAACTTTATTTTCCAGGTGAGGGAAAGAAATTACTCTGAGAAACTGACATGAAGAGATTCTCCTTAAGGGCTGTAGTCTCAATCCTATAAAAGTTTATGTATTCGTTTACCACTAAACATGTATGCAACAAGGTTACTTCAAAAAAAGTGAGATAATGGTACTCTTTGTATGTTTAAAATAAAAACTGTATTCAGAGTATCAGGACCTAAACCAGCAGGCATCAGTTTCTTACACATCACTTCTCTGGAAACATACAACATCTAGTAAGTTCTACCAGCATCATGAAACCTCAAATGCATAAAGGCACATTTGATTTTCTGACTTAAATCGTATTTACTGTTAACGCACTAAGCTGTCTAGTTCTAAAACACTCCTAGATTTAAAAGGTTCCTGTAACAACAAAAGCCTTCTGATTCCACTTAAATGATTTTTCCTCTATTATGTAAAAGCACTACTGAAGCTAATTTTTACATCATGATTACATTACAGATAAAACCGACATAAAAAACTACAGCTGACACCTAACTACAGGAACATTTTTTTGTATAATCAGGATCACTTAACATGTAGATGTTAGCGTTAATTACAGATATGTTGACTAAGCTCACTTCTGCAAATATTAACACACCTAGCATGACACAAGTGAAAACGTACCGCTGAAATCAATAAATTATTCATGCCTCTGCGGCAAGACTAAATCAATAAAGGGTGAAAAGCACCCTGGTGAACCCGAGTATTTCATCATGACTCATGACATCAAGACAATAACAAACCACCAGATCCTACTTAACCCTCAATTCGATTGCTCCCACGATAGCCACCGAAAATTGGCTTCCAAAGCTTAGACGGAAGGACGACGATACCGCTGCCTTCCAATAAAAATGTACCCTGGTATAACTCAGGCTTTTATCAACGACTCCCACCCAAGCACTAGGGTTCAACGACAGCTTTCAAAGGGAAGGAGAACGCAAGCGTCCGGCCTGGCACGGCTCTCAGCCGCCCCGGTACCGCAAACCGGCAGCAGGGTGGAGGGGGGCCGCGTTACTCACGTTGGCCATGGCAGACGGCGGGGTCCC